CCAGCAGTGCTGGCTGTGTCCTGCTCAGCCTGTCAACGGGACGCTCCCCATCCTGCCTGTGTGACTGGGCCTGGCAGCCTATTTGCTGGTGCAGGCTTCAGCTGTAATTAATTGGTATTTATAGAGCCCTCGTCAGTTGCCTAAATCCTGGTTGGAATGAGCTCTGACAGTGCCAAAGCTTGGCAGAGACAACTGGGTGCGCAGCTGCAGTATATTGCAGCTTCCATGTCCTGTTCGTCCCTTTGGACTTCTGCTAGAGTCAACACGTTGTCCTTTGTAATCCTGGGGACACTAGTAGGGAAGGGAAGCTAGGCCAGCWCTTGTAGCCTTGGGGGAGGAGGATGGCTGAGGGGAGCAGGTCTTACCCTGTAGTTTAAATGATCCCTGAGGACCTGTCAGAGTAAAAGCCAAGTCCTCCATGGGCTTGTGGGGAAAAGGGAAAAGATGGGATCTGGCTGTGGGGATGGACTGTGCCATATAGGACTAACTCCTTTTTCTGATCTTTTTTCCTAGATATTGCTGTGGAATTGCTCCAGAAAGTGGCTCCCAGCCCCATCCGCAGGCTCCAGAAGAAATATGTGGCTCATGTTTCTCGGTAAGGAGCAAAATCTGTGCCCTCGTTAACACTGTCAGAGCTGGCGGCCCCTAGTCCTGCCTCAGTTCTCTCTCCCAAGCTAACACTGGCTTTGTGCTTAAGCCTYGTTAGTGTCGGAGGAGATGGGGTTTGTGGCAAGGCTGCAGCGTCTTCCTGACGCAGCCGGCTCCTCTTCAGCTGTTCTCCCTCCCTTCCCTGGGATGCAGGGATGCCTTTGTTGTGGGGAGATGTGCAGCTGTGCAGCCCTCGCCCTGCAGTTGGGTCCGAACACCGGCTCTGCTGAGCCCTTCCAACATGCCTGGCTGCAGGAACAACTGCTCAGTTGAGAACTGGCTGTGCCCAGAGAGAGGAGCTCTGTGCTCTCTGCCTTCTGCTCTTTCTCATGCTGCAGCTCTGCAGGGCAGCTCTTGAGGTGTTAGTGAGGCTGGGGGGACACGTCCYGGCCGTGTGTGCATAGCTGTATGTTTGCTGTACATCCCACAATGTGGGGAGGGAGCAGCCAGGTTGTGCTGTGCAGGCCAGGCCCTTCGCAGCACCCAAGTAACCTTGAGCTTGGCTCTTGCCCTGTCATCACAGGGAAGCCTGYATCTCGCCCTGCTCCATGATGCTGGCACTGGTTTATATTGAGCGACTCCGACATCGAAACCCCGACTACCTGCAGCAGATCTCGTCTTCAGACCTCTTCCTGATCTCCATGGTGAGCAGCRAGGCCTGGGAGGCCCCTGCGTGGCAGGGAGGCCCGCAGGAGTGAGATGGGAACTGAAATCCTGTCCTCTGTGCTGCCTCCAGATGGTTGCCAGTAAGTACCTGTACGATGAGGGTGAGGAGGAGGAGGTGTTCAACGAYGAGTGGGGCGCCGCAGGGAAGGTGGATGTCCAGACAGTGAACACGCTGGAGATGAACTTTCTGAGCGCTGTTGTAAGTGCGACTGCTGCTGTGTCTGCTTGGCTTCGCAGGCGAGAAGGGGGAGTTTAAGGGGAGCCTGGGTTTCTCTTTTTTCCCCTACTCTGGTGGGGGAGTGGAGAAAGACGTGCCCGACTGTTCCTCATGCTTGAGGGTACTGGGCAGCCTGCACCAGCCACCTGCCATGGCTAATGTGTCACTGTTGTCCCCACAGGACTGGAGTCTTTACACAGATCCCCGGGAGCTGTTTGAAGTGCTGAGCTGGCTAGAAGGACGGTAGGTGTTTGGGAGTCCTGTTTGTCAATCCTAGATGGATGCACTGTCCCTGCTCAGAGCTGACCTGGCTGCGGAGAAGGAGGAGCTGAGATTACCCGAGGCCTTTGCTGGGATCTGCAGCCAGAGCAGCTTTAGGCAGGGTCTTGGTCTGAGCGTGCCAGAGTCTAGGCTTAGCTCCCGGGGCCAGGGAAGGTCTGTGCCGCATTCCCAAGCCCCTTTCCTTGCAGTGTGGCGGAGAAGCAGGGTGCCTGGCGTGGCTGGTTCACCTACACGGATCTCTGTGTCCTCCTGGAGCAGTCCATGTGGCAGCAAGCGCTGGGCCAGTTCTACCAACAGGTGGTGAAGGTAAAGGCTGGGGGCAGCCGCTTGCAAGAGCAGAGGGGAAGGCATCCCAGGTGTGAGCAGGCCATGATTTTGGGGTGTAGGACCCATTAGTTCCAGGAGAAACTTCCTGTTTATTCCCTGTTGCTGCTGGTTTGCCTGTGCAGCTTGTGCACTGCAGGGTGGTACCGGATCAGTCCRTGCCAAAGCCCAGAGCCATTGCAGCTGCATGGGGGCGCTCGGGRGGTACTGGGGGAGCGCCCGTGGCCCGGAGCTAACGGCCTGCACCTCCGCAGCTGGCCTGCGTGCTGGGCGTCGTGTACCTGGCCGGCTTGGCGGCCGTCTTCGCCTCCGTCGCGGCGGCGCACCGCGCCGTGGGCAGCGGGAGCCTCAGCCCGGCGGCGCCGCGGCCCGC